TTTGATTCAATGTAAAAGAAAGGAAAGAATAAAAGTATTAGGACCAGAATAGTGGCTCATAGCTATAATCCCAGCTACTCAGGAGTGGAGAGAGGGAGGCCAGCCTGGGCAAAAGTCAGGGACACCTCATTTCAACAAATAAGCCAGTTAGTGGTGGTGTTGTCAAATCTCAGATATGCAGGAAGAGCAGGTAGGAAGATTGTGACCAAGATTGGCCCTTATTAGAAACATAAGACCTTATTAAAATATGACTAAAGCAAAAATGGGCTGGAGAAGTGACTCCAGTGGTAATCACTTGTCTAGCAAGCATTAAGGCCCTGAGTTCAAACTTTGGCATTGCCAAAAACAAAAAAAAGAAAAAGAAAAATATTAGGAATAAAAAGAAGAACAATAATGCAGATAAAATAGAGGTCTTCCAATAAATGTAAAAACTCATATGAAGCAAAAATACATAGCACCTCAACTGAACCAAGAAGACACAGAAAAACCAAATAGAACTGTAAAGATTAAATCAATTGAATCATTAGTCAAAATCTATCCATATATCAAGACAATAATTCACCTGGTTTTACAGGTAAGTTTTTACAACCCAACAATGAACAAACAACTTTATATAAGACATTCTTTATATATTTCTTAGGGCTTAAATATGTTTAAGATATGTGAAAAATTCTGCAAGAAATGAAGCATCTTAGTAATGATAAATATTTTGTCCTTGTTTAAGTTGATAAACAGTAAAATTTTTAATTAGTGATAAGTTATCCACTATTATTCTAAAAGGCTTCATCAGTAGAGCATAGGGATAAAAATGTGAAACTACACCTGAGTTGTCTTCAGAAAGAAATGAGAAGGGCTGAAGTCATTCTTTAGAGAGAATACCGAAGTCTGACAGGCAGCCCAGGGGGACAGATAGAGCCTTTGGTGTTATTAAGATCCAATACACGTCACCAGGAACACCTGATGTTAGAAGTGTGCTAAAAGTGAGAGGTGGTTCAAATAATGGGTGACAACCCACATGCTTTATTCCTTGACCAACCTCTGGTATATAATGCTCAGGTAAACAAAAAAGGACAAAGAGAAACAAACCAAGTGCAAGGAAAGTATTTTCAGAGATGGAAATCTTTAAATTCAGAGAGATATGTAACTCTTGAGTTTCATATTTCAAATTCAGGACAACCTGGAGCCCAGAGGAGACATCTGCATGGGCCAAATTGCTTCCTATCTTTCCCTTAAAATAATAAGAACACAAGTTATTTGATTTCCAGACAAAGGAAATGAAAAGGACAGCATGGCCAGTGCACCTTGAAGGAAGGCAGACAGAGCAGCCCCCAAAAGAACACAAGACAGCGGAAGGGGTGCAAGAAGCAGCTGAGGACAAGGAAGAGAATTCTGTTACTTTGAAGAACAGGAGACCCGGAGTTTTGTCCTTGAGCCCTGAACAAAGAGCACACAATCAAGATCCATACTCACTCAGGTTAGCAGGAACCTCACTTTGTGGGCAAAGAAATTAGAACAGACAATCTTAAAACACAGCAGGAATTTTTTCTCTTCTTAATTCATTGGCTACGTAATATTTCAAGCTATACAACTCCATCCCTGCACACAGAATTTACCAGGCAAAGGGTGTATTTATAACTATGAAAAAAATCCCGACGGTTACTCAGAATATAAATATTC